AAGTATTTTTGGTTTTCTACTTAAGTATACAGGTTTCATGCTTTTGCAGTTTCAGTTGCAAAACACATATATATGTATATACGTGTGTGTTTATACATACAATATATATAATTTCATATTTTATATAAATATATAAATACACATATTACTTATATATATATATATATAATGAACACACACTACACAAATATATATATGGCTCATTCCCACAGCAGTTACTGAGGTTGCACTTTTATGAGTGGCCAAAATGTTCTACCTGTGAGCTGAGGCCTCAGATCTCCCCCCTTCCTCCATCTCTCACACTTCTCCTCTTCTTGTGTTCCTGATGCCCATCTGATTATGCTGAGGCAGTTAAATCAGCAGAAATCTGGCCCAGAAAAAACTACACACAAAAATATACCAAAAAAAAAAAAAAGCACACCTCCAACAACACACCCAAATAAAACAAAAGCCAAACAAGAACATCCAAAAAACACACACACACAAACTTTTTGCCTATTTAGCTCCAGGCTGGGGATCCTGGTTTGGAGGAAGCAGTGCAAGGAGCAAGAGGGAATGAGCAGCAGGGCAGGGGATGCTTCCTTTCACAGAGTCACAGAATGGGCTGGGCTGGAAGGGACTCACAGGATCATCAGTCCAACTCCTGGCCCTGCACAGAGTCACCCCCTGTGCCCCAGAGGATCAGCCAAACCCTCCTGGAGCTCTGGCAGCCTTGGGGCTGTGCCCACTGCCCTGGGGAGCCTGGGCAGTGCCCAACCACCCTCTGGGGGAAGAACCTTTGCCTGAGATCCAACCTGAGCCTGCCCTGACACAGCTCCAGCCATTCCCTGGCTGCTGTCCCTGGTCCCCCAGAGCAGAGCTCAGTCCCTGCCCCTCCTCTGCCCCTGCCCAGGAATTTGAACTGCACTGAGGTCTCCCCTCAGTCTCCTCCAGCTGAACAGAGGTGACACAGAATTGGCTCATGTTGACACCACAGCTTTACACACCCTGAGCTTTCCAGCTGCCCCTTTCCCAGATGAAACAGCAGCATTATTATCACACTGAAGGGACTCACATGGAACACTATCATTCTAATATCAGGAATGACATCCCTGATGGTTCTGGATCCTTCCAGTGCTGTCCATCACTGCAGGCACCTCTTGGCCCCTTTGGTACCAAGGTCTCCACACCAGCTGATGAAAAGCAGCTCCTTCATTCTGGTCTAGTTCACAAGTCCACAAGTGAAAAGAAAGAGCCCTAAAAGCTGTGTCAGAGGTGCAGAGGTCACACTGCAGGGCTGGTTTGGGACACGCCTCCCCGCACTGGAATGCAGGAGTCTGTTCACCTCTTCTCCTCAAAGGTGAAGCTTCACTTTAAGGTGACAGGAAGGATTTAGTCCACCATCATTCACATCAATACATGCTGATCAACTGCAAGACTTATTGCTACTGCAATTTTTTATAAGTAATCCTTTAAATCTTTGGAGGAATGATTTCCCAACCACAAACATACATGGGCAGTGGATGCCTGTTCAACTGTGTGTGACTTCTTATAATACTTGCTTAATTCCTCTAATTAAAAAAAAAAATCATAAAGCCCTATAACCTTAGACATTAAGGTCTTTTTGAAGGAGAAACTGCAAAATAAAATTCATGCTTGTAGTGTTTATAATACATTAGTTTCATTACAGGAATACCTCTACAACAGCACTCTGAAAGCACAATTAAATTGCTGGTACTGTTAAAGAGAAGGGGGAAAATAAGCAAACAAAAAATCCAAAACCCTCAAACAAACAACAAAAAAAACCCAACAAAAATAAAGAGACAAACAAACAAACAAAACCAACCCAATCACAAGACACTTGGAAACTAAGGAAAAAGACAAAGGTGCTTGTATGACCTTAATTCACCTCCATTTTATCCTTAACAGAGAATACCAGGAATCTTATCTGCAGCCTTCGCTGTTGGTAACAACAATAGCTGTTTGCAGTGGCAGCTCTCCAAGCAGAGATACCATGCATAGAAAAGCACATGGGAAACCAAGTATCAAGATCATAAACTGCTAATACAAAAAGTTATTAAAAAAAAAAAACAAACAACTATCTGAATTATTTCTAATTCTCTTCTTGGCCACAACAATCTGTAGGTGCAGCTGTGAAGGTGCCAAAAAGCTATTTAAATTGAAAGTCTGGCATGTGTCCTTTATTACCCTATTAAATTTTTTAAATGTGATCTTAAGGGCCAAAAATGATGGGAGGAACATTACCTGCTTTTGCAGAAAAAGAGATCATTATTTTTAGCCACCATATGTGGGAAGAAAAAGTGCCCTGACACTAATATATCAATATTTGGAACTAAACACTAAAATGCCAGGCCTTGAATACCATCATTTGTACCCATTTGTCTTGACACTTAAAAGTCACCTTAACAAGAGCTCAGTTTGCTGTTTACCCCACTGAGCAGTTCTGCAAAGCTGAGCTGAGGCTCAGGAAAGGCAGTAAATTAAATCCAAGGGAGAGAAATGCAGGTGATCAGGTAACACCAGGAAGAAACAGTTCCCACTGTGCCCAATTCTCCTTCAGCTCAGTGGCAGATTTCCCACGTGCTGGGCCTGGGCCCAGAATCAGGAGGCAGAGAAGCTTCTTCCCTTTCTTATGTCTTGGCAAAAGGATTGAAAATTTTCCACCTTGAAATTCCTGTGGGCTTTTCTGAATGGAAACTCTTCTGCTGTGGTAACAGTAAGTGCTCTTCATTAGCCTGATTAAGTCAGTCAAAATCTGTGGAAAGATTTTAAATAAATTTGCTGGGCTTTGGGTCAGCAAAATGTAAATGAAATAAAGATGCAGCTCATAGCAAGTAATCCTGCAAAGAGTGACCTTTCCTTTACTCTCACTGAGGTCAAGGAAAGTTGAGGACACCAAGTCCTTGATCTCTGACTTAGGTCCAACAGCTTTTAAAAGACTATCAGGTATGTTTGAAAGCTTCAGTGTTTTTAGTAGAGGCTGGGGTGAAATCTTTTTCATATGCTATAAAATAAAATAATTCTAATTCCTGTATGCTGGGACTTTTTTCTGAAGTAGCTGGGAGCCCTACTCAGGATCTTCAGAACAGACTTGTGTTTTCAAATATCATTTTCTGATGGGGAAATCAAAATTTTCTAGTCTGAATTTAAAGCCATTGTCCTCATTAATATAAAAATTAGAAAAAAGGGATGTAAACATAAAAACACTTATGGATATTTGGGTTTCATAACCCAGTACTATGACTTCACTTTCTTACCTTTCCCTTGCCAAAAAACCATTTCCATCTCCTGGACTAGGGACAATAGCAGCAAAACCTATTATTTGTATGAAAATCATGAGGGGCACTCTGAGGGAAAGTTAAGATTGAACCAAGGCAGGGCCTCCAAGTTGGTCTGCAGGAGGCACAGCACCCACAGCACAGCAGGGTTTATTAGCTTGGTTTAGCTTGGCAGGACACAAGTCAGGGGCAGAATGTGTGCCTGCAGTCTGCTGAGAAGACATATGCTAAATATCCCAGGTTTCAGGAAATATCCTACATCACAATAGCTCTGCAGTTCTCAATTTGTCTGCCTCCAGACAAATGTTTTTCAAGTGGTTTTTTTACAGGAAACATTCCCTTGTTCAGAATTGAATTTAAAATGCTCCTGAAATGCTTAAACAAGGCAGCCAACAAAACAGGTGTAACATTTAAGGTCATGGTGTTCTGGCTCTGTCTCACTCTTGCCTGTAGCCAGTGAGCTGGGAAAACAGGAGCTTCCTTCAGCCCGCTGGAGCTGAAGGATGGCAGGAGTGGAGGCAGGGTCGATGTGTGGGCAAAGAGGTGCTGCCAGGACAGACACAGGAGCAGCAGGGACAGCCCAGAGGGAGCAGAACCCAGGACAGACCCTGGAGCAGAACCCAGGACAGACCCTGGAGCAG